TCTCCGTCTGCCTCCACCTTTCGCACCACGCTTGCATCAGATCCTTTCTCGCCTCACCTTTGCATGCCACTGAGGGAGCCGAGTTCCTCCCTCACCCTTTCGTTCTTCCTCCTCTTCCATTCCTGGAGACGCTCTTCCGCCAGCAAATCCAGCGGAGGGACCCCAGCCAACACGCACAGTGCCTCCCCGGACACCGTGCGATACGCACAGCACACTCGCAGAAGCATGTTTCTCTGGACACCCAGAAGCATCTGTCGATACTTCTGTATGCGGTATCCATCGATCCACACCTCCGCCCCATACAACAGAATCCCATGAACGACACTGCACAACACTCTCCTTTTGCTCGCCCTGGGTCCTCCTACATTGGGTAGCAGTCGGCCCAGGGCACCCACAACCAACTTAACCTTCCGTACCACCCGTTCCACTTGCTCGGCCACCCTGAGGTTTCTTTGAAAATCCACCCCAAAGTACCTCACCGCTTCCCGGGTCTCTATCGCTCTACCTTCCATGCACACACTCATTCCACGTATCGTTCTCCGCCCTACCAAGAGCACCGCTTCGCTCTTCTCGGGTGCAAGTGAGAGACCGTTGTCCCCCATCCATGCACCCACGAGCCGCAGTGCTTCTTCGGTCCTTTCTCTCAGGTCCTCTTCATTCTTACCTATCACAATCACAGCTAAATCATCCGCGTACCCGATGAGCTTTACCCCATCGGGTACTTCCATTCTTAAAACCTCGTCATAAAATATGTTCCACAGGAGCGGCCCCAAGACCGACCCCTGCGGAACCCCGGCAGTCATTTCAAATTCACCCATCCTCGTTTGAACCACTCTATCGCTCAGGTAGGACCGCACCACGTTCACGAGATACGGCTCCACCCCCATACTTACCAGACGTTCCAGAATCCCCCTCCACGATACCGTGTTGAAGGCATTCCGGACGTCCACAGTCACCATCACACAAAACCGCCGAGTACCCCATGTACCTACGTTTGCTCCTCTAGCGTACTCCCTTGCATCCATCATGGCGCCGATCGTCGATCGTCCAGCCCTGAATCCATACTGCGTCTCCGCCAGACCACCGAGCCTCCGAACGTCGTTCCTCAGTCTCGCGGCCAACATTCCCTCGTACAGCTTGCCCATCCCGTTCAGCAGACAGATGGGCCTATATTTCGCATTCTCTCCTTCCTTTCTTTCTTTCTCTATCAGCACCAATCTCGCCACCTTCCATTCTTTGGGAACAACCCCTTTCTCCAGACATCTATTCATGACCTCCAGACATTCTTTTCCACATTCTTTGGCATATGTCTTACATACCTCTGGTGGTATCTTGTCCGGACCCGGCGCCTTGCCCTTTCTCAGCCTCCCGGCCGCCTCCTGCAGCTCTTCGGGGGAGAAGGCTGGCACCTGTCCGTCCACCACCAGATCCGTCCACTCTAGAGGCCCGTGCTCGGGAAAGAGCTTACGGGCTTCCTCCATTACATTCTCACCACACGCAGTACCGCTCATTCCTCTTCCCATCCATTTAGTTACTATCTTGTATCCTTCTCCCCACACATTCCTATCTACTTCCTCACATACTCTCTTCCATTCCTTTTCTTTTGATCTTTTTATGATCAGCGTCAGTTCCTTTTTGTTTTGTCTGTACTCCTTGCCTTTTTCGGTCGCTATTTCTGTGTCTCTTTCCTTTTTTTTGCACCTCATCCACTCCCGTCTCTTTCTCAAGCATTCCTTCCTTTTTTCCGCAATCTCTTCCGTCCACCAATACACTCCTTTTCTTTTCCCCATGCATCCCTTTTTTTTTAAACCCTATCGCACGTTTCCTCTAGCACTCTCTTCGTCTCACACACCAGGTCCTTGCATTTATCCATCGTCTTCACCCTCTCCTTCATCACCTCAGCCAGTCTTTCCATCTTCTCTTCTGCAACACTCCATCCCCGTTCCTTCATTCTGTCCTCTCCTCTCTCACACTCTCCTGTCATACCCAGCACCCATACTATGTCCTGGTGATCGCTCAAATTCTCCTGTTCTAGCACTCTCCACTCTTTCATTCTTCTAGCCACCCCTTCCGTGCTGAGGGTCAGGTCGATGTGCGACTTCTGAGCACCTCGCAGGAAGGTGGGGGCATTTCCGCAATTGTGACATACCATACACCTCTCAGCCATCCAGTCCTCAAGCAAACTACCTCGCAAATCATTCGTTATGGGGGAGCCCCACAGGGGTGACTTCGCATTGAAGTCCCCTGCGACCACCACCTCCCCCTCCCATTTGTTCACACTTTCACCTAGATCACCCAGGAACTTTGTATATCTCTCAATACCAGTATTGGGAGATATATAGCATCCATACAATACCCATTCATTAAACTTGATCCATACAAAACCTTCGCCCTTCCCAAACTTCTCTCCCCTTTCATGTCGTCCAAACACTCTCACCGCTACATCCTCTCTCACATCCGTCATCCACTCCACCCCTTTCACTCTCTTTTTGTTGGGTTCAGACACTACCAGTTCATTCACTCCTTCCTCTTGCACCGTCTTCCACATCACGTCCATTGCCACTCCCTTTTAACGCATTTCTGAATGCATCACATGCGCCGCTCCCGACTTTGTGTCCTACTTTTCCTACTTTTCCACACAGCGGGCACTGTGCTTCTTCTCTGCATGTTTTTTCGAAGTGTCCTTCTCCTGCACATCTACGGCATTTTTGCGATCTGTCTTCTCCTTTACAGTCTTTAATTTTATGGTCATATGCCCAGCATCGGTAACAGTGTGTCACTACTACTCTTTCTTGGATTTTGCAGTTGCCTAATCCAATCCTGATACGGTCAGCTTGTATTATCTTTCCGCGTCTTTTTCTTCTGCTTGAATGGTTACCGTCTGGTTCCCAGTCCTGTCGGGTCTTCTTGATTTTATTACTAGCGCATCATTAGTTTGTATCATTCCTGTGTATACTATTGCGTCCCTAATTTCTGCTTCTTCTGCGGACGGTTCTACATACCTCAGGTGTAATATCTTGGTCCTGTAAGCCTTTAGCTGTTTAACATTTTGCCCCCTGGGACTTGACCTGACCTGACCTGACCTGACCTAACCTGACCTTTTTTTTCTGATGGAGGGGAAACCTGTTCATCCAGGCGCCTCCCGCTGGATGTCAATTGCGGGGGGGAGTGTGGGGTTCTCCACCCATCTTGAGTGGCGTACCCATTAAAACCCCTCCTTTCCTTCACCAGGATCACCCTAGTCCAACCTCCCTTCGTGTTCTCCGTCCACCTTTTTTGCCAGATTTCTATAATTTCTTGTCTTTCTTTCGTTCGGATTTCTTGTGTAATCCTTCCTGTCTTGGATTTATGGTACAGGGTTTTTCTTTCTAGGGCTAGTAGATCTAGAGGAGGCTCCGCTGTCACTACTTGGAGGGCTGCTGTTGACACCGTCCGATACCCACTTGCAATCTTTAGGAGACTTTTTCTTTGTGTTCTTTCCAGCATCATTCTGTATTTTGCGAACTTCATCGCTTCTAGCCACCCTGGAGCGCCATATAGGATTATCGAATTTGCAAGTCCATTTAGAATAATTTTTCGAGCTCTACTACCTGGTCCACCACTATTTGGCATAAGCCGACTTAATGTGGATATGGCTTTCTCAGCTTTCCCCACAGCATAGATAACGTGTTCACCAAAAGTTCTTTGTTGGTCTATTACGATACCTAAGTATTTTAGTTTTTTTCTAGGTTTAATTTCATGATCTTTTATTCTGAACATGACCATGCCTCTTGCTCTAGGGCTTGCTAGTATAACTGCCTCTGTTTTCTGCATTGCAAGTTCCATTTCGTGGATCTGCATCCACTCAGTAACTCTAAAGAGAGCTTTTTCTGCAAGAAACTCTAATTGATGTTGGGTATCTGCAGTAACTACTAGTACTACTACTGCCAAGTCATCCGCAAAGCCTATAAATGTAACTCCATTGATTTTTATTTCCAAAATGCTGCTTGTTGTGCTGTTCCACAAGAAGGGCCCGAGCACTGACCCCTGTGGGACTCCTGCAGACATCTCTTGTGTTATTTTGTTACATATAACTTTTCTATTGTTAAAATAACTTATGATGAGATCGATTAAATATGGCGATATATTTCTTTCCTTTAGTTCCCTTACAATTTGTGACCATGGAGCACTATTAAAGGCGTTTTTCACATCTAGAGTTATTAACACGCACCACATTTTCCTTCTATTCTTTGATTGGTTTTGCGTTTTTTCAGCAATATCCAATACTTTCCTTATTGCATCGACCGTGGATTTCCCTGCTCGGAAGCCATACTGATTTTCGGATAGATCTCTCTTGTGTTGTAACTCTTGGTTTATTCTTGCTACTAAAAGTTGTTCGAATAATTTGCTTACGCAACTTAACAAGCAAATCGGCCTATATGTTGTTGGAGCTTTGCCAGTTTTGGGGATCAGAATTACTTTTCCCGCCTTCCACCTTTCCGGGAAAATTTAATGGCGTAGTAGATCATTCATAATGTTTAAGAGAAGTTCCGGAGAAATGTCAGTTGCTATTTTGGTTGCCTCTGGCGATATCTTATCCAATCCAGGGGATCTCTTATTTTTCAGTCTCTTACTGGCTGCTAATAATTCTTCCTTACTGAAGTTTTGTCCCTTATCTATTTGAAAGATTTCTGTTAATTTTTTATTCTTCTTTGGGAACAGTTGCTGTAAGGTTTTTCTTATCTCACATTCCGGAAGTGCATATCTAATCGGGGGGGATCTTTAATTGCCTTGTTACAATGTTGTAGCCTTTTCCCCACAAGTCATCGTCCAGGTTTTTACATGTATCTGACCAGAATTGTTTTTTACTTTTTTGAATTAACATTTTGAGATCTTTTTTTAATGCTTCGTAGGCTTTTTTAAGGTTTATTTTGACATCATTGCTTGTGTTTTTTTTTCCTATTTCCTCTCGTTAGGTTTCTCCGTGCTAGAATGCATTCTTTCCTCTTTATCTCTATTTTTCAGTTCCACCAGTAGGGCATTTCGTTTCTAGTTATTTTTGTGTCTATGGACCTATTGAAGGCCTTCTGGATTATATCCATTCCTCTCTCAAAGTTTATATTTTCTATTTCTGTTACATTAATTTCCTCCCGGAGGATTGTTTTATACTTCTCCTCGTTCAGTACTACTTTTTTCCTAGGTGTTATATATTTAATTGTTTGGTCTATTATTTTAAAGTATATATATCGGTGGTAGCTTAGGGATTCTTGTTCTAAGACCTTCCAATTTGTATTACTCCGTGCCATGTTCTCCGTGGAGCAAGTGATGTCTATAAATGAAATGCTTTCCCCTCGTTGGAATGTCGACGTAATTCCATCATTGTGGATAACACAATCTAAGCTTGCTAATGTTTCTGATAGTAATCTCTCTCTATCATCCGTTTTACGAGATCCCCATTCGAGAGACTTTGCATTGAAGTCTCCTACTATTACTGAACGTGTATTATGTTTATTTACATTTTCAAAGATTTCGTCTATAACTTTGGTATATTCTGCCATCGGAATATTTGCAGAAATGTAGCAGCAATAGAAATTATACTTTTCGAGTTTTATTCTCACGTATCCTGACCCTTTCTCTATTTCTGAGATAATAATATTTTTATTTCTTACGAATATTGCTACATCCGTTTTATCATCTGTGATCCAGCCTCCGCTCTTAGTTATGTTTTTATTAGGTTCACACAGAGCAATAATGTCAGCCCTCACCTCTTTTGCCGTAGCATACACTAAATCGTGTGATATTCTACATATGAGGGATGGGGTGCCACAAGGGTCCGTCTTAGGACCCTTGTATCTCATATACATATCAGATTTTAAATGTAGTAATTCTGTAATGTTTGCTGACGACACGTCTATATATATCGTGTGTTTAGATTACAAAAAAAACGATGAGAATTATGGTAGGTGTTAATTCAAGAACTAGTTGCAAAAATCATTTCATTGCCGAAAAAATTATGACAGTATCTTGTATATTTATATATAGTACATTAATTTATATAAAATTACATCTCTACAATTTTACCACAATAAATGAACGTTATAGCTATAATACACAGAACATAAACACATTAGAAATTCCTAAACACGACACTTCCCTTCTTAATGGGTCCAAAAGTGAAAAAGCCATCTACGAATAACACTCAGGTGGAAAGTGTTATTAACGGGTGCCTTCGAAATTTTTTCGATAACTCCACTGTTAACTGTGTTTGTGGGACTCAACTACAATTGCTAGTGGAAGAAGTTGTTAGTTGTAAATCGCTAATTATAGCCCAGACTGCTCTTATCAATCAGCTTCAAAGCGAAATTGCCGAATTGGGTGCTAAAATTCAGCCTGACATCCACGGTAATCCATCGACATTGAGCCAGCTACGTGAAAAACGACAATCAGGTATAGGCGTAAAAACCGTTAAAGAAGCTGAATCTTTCACCTCAACTGATAACAACGTAAACAACACTCGTTGTTTGTGTGGAAGAGTGGATGTAATTTATACAGACTTATCGAAAGCTTTTGATAAGATTCAACATAACATTCCAATACAGAAGCTTAGTAACTTTGGTTTGAACGCCGATGCTTTAGCTTTAATTGAGTCTTATTTAAGTAGCGGAGTTTGTTATGTTTATTACAATGGTTTTAATTCTAGAGAATTTATTGCTACATCAGGGGTTCCCCGAGGATTCCATCTCGGTCCATTATTATTTGTTTTATTCATAAACGACTTGCTGCTTTCACTATCTTGTCCAGTCTTAGCTTATGCTGATGACATTAAATTATATATGTCAATCAATTCTTACAACGAAGTTCTTTTATTGCAAAGTAACTTAAACGTATTGACACAATGGTGTATGACCCATAAACTTATTCTTAATAAGCAAAAATGCTTTTTTGTTACTTTCACCAGAACTCATTCTCCTTTACCGACGCAGTATATGATTGACGGTTATCTCCTTGATAAGAAGGATTGTATGAAAGATCTTGGTGATGTTTTTGATTCAACGTTGACATTTGTTGAGCACCTTAATTGTGTTTGCTCTTCTGCGTCTAAGTCCTTGGGTTTTGTCATGCGCACTTGTCGCAACTTTAGTGACTTAAACTTAATGAAGCAGCTCTTTTATTCCTATGTTTTAAGTAAAATGGAATATGGCATACTAGTATGGAGCCCCATATATGCATCTCACGCACTCATGTTAGACAAAATTTATCGTCGTTTCTTGAAGTATTTATCGTACAGAATCGATGGTGCTTATCCAGAAAGAGGAACTAGTTCAGTTGAACTGCTTGAACGTCATCATTTGCCGTCATTAGGAGAAAGAACAACTCAACGTGTTGCATTATTTTTGTCTAAACTAGTGCATTATCAAATTGACTGCGAATTTCTTTTGAGCAAGGTACCTTTCAATGTTCCTCGTCTTACGTCAAGATCGGCATCCAATTTCCGCTTACCAACTCCACGTACAAATGTACTGCGCAGAGCACCGATATTTATTATGTGTAAAGCTGCTGATGTTATATATGATGACTTGTTTGTTTAAATAGATGTTATATTTTTGTTATATTTTGTCCTATAATAGGTTACTATTGGACAAATCAAGATTACTATTATTATTATTATTATACACTAAGCGTTGGACCCTCTACAAGTTTATATTCTTCAGTAAGAAGGAACAGTAATGTGTTTCTGCAAAAAATAAATAGTCAACCTTCCAATAAGACTATTTCCGCTCATTGGGAGGATGATTCTGACTCCTCGGCCTCAGAAGAACCTGCACTCATTAACACTGTTGGTGATGCCGACATAATTGTTCATAAACCTGATATCGCTAGTGATGAACTGTCTTCGCTATTAACATCGGCACCTCAACATCAACAAGAAAATAGAACTCAAAAGCTGTCAACTAAATCTGGCCCAATCCAGACGACCTATACACAAACTAAGACCACTGAAAAGCGTAGCAACAAAACTCGTTTTGTTTCCACCAACACATCGCAAATCAATGGTGCCAAAGCTAAACTTCTACCACTTGAAAGAAATTGCTGGATATATGTCTCTAATCTTAGCTCTCAACAAACAACTGAAGATATACTAGATGTACTTAAAGAACTGGACCCTAGTGCCGACTTTAGCGTCGAAAAACCCGAAGCCCTTAATAAAAAGAAAACTTCCAGCGTGTTTGTAGTAAGAGCTCCCCTTAGGTATGAAGCTACTCTAAAAGATCCAAATTTTTGGCCTGCCAATACCTATGTTAACAAGTACTTTCATCCTCGTAATAAACAAAAAAATTTTCCTCAAACTGTAGTAAACACAGAAAGCACTTAGAACTAACAGTTTTTCACCAAAACTGTCAAAGTATAAGAAACAAAATTCTAGAATTAAATAGTCTGCAATTAAATGTCCCACTGCTTTGTATCTCTGAGCATTGGTTACCCTCAGCAACATATTTAGAGTTTCTTTGTATTGATAACTATAAATTAGTTAGTTGTTTTTGTAGGTCATTCATGGTGGTGTTGCCATTTTTCAACATACTGCTGTTGTATATTTATTTGTGAGCAGAAATGACATTATCTGTGGAAAAACATATAGAACTATGTGCTGTAGAATCTGATAAAATTAATGTAATTATCGTAGTAATTTACAGGCCCCCTAAAGGAGACTTTAATATATTTTTAAACGTAATGAATAATCTTTTTGAAAGGGTGTGTATTTCACCACGATCTACAGCCTGACTGCGAAATATGTGCAAAAAAAAAATGGGGAATAGCTCACGATACGAGTATGTCACTGTATAAAATTCACGGTCCTAAGTGGTAGCAGTGCCGAGAAAAAATTATTTGAAATTACATATATATTGTTACACACGCCGCTGGTAATGTTTCTTAACCTACATCATTACTACAATGAATGGCACACAGCGACGAAGTTTAAGAACCAAAAAACTAGTGCAAAAAGACGATAAGGACACTAGTGTATCAGTTACTTGCCGTAGCTGGGTGTGTTCGGTTGTGTTTGACAATGGTGAATTTTACAAATTCAGAGCGTGCCGACATGGTAATTCTGGATGGGGTGGCGGATGGGAACTCAAGCTTGGCCCGCGAATTGTGGATCGAACGCTTTCCAAATCGCGCGATTCCATGTGCGCGAACATTTACGTCAGTGGTACAGCATCTCCGAGATCATGGTACATTCAACCTCAAACTCACGATCGTGGTCGTGATGGGACAGAAAGAAGAAATTGGATTTTCGCAGCTCGTAGTGCATCCTACATTAAAAGTACACGGTCACAACCATACCATGTTGACAAAGTGGACGGTTTTTGGAGTCCACTGATTGTCCACGTTGTGTAACTCACTTTTTGTCCGATGGAACTTCACATAGTCGTCAACAAGTACGATTTCAAGAGACGGTTTTCGAAAAACGTGTATTGGTTGGATGAAACAATTCGTTTGTGGAAATCAACAGTGTCCAGAAATCATCGAAGAGCTTCAACAAGTGAAAGTGGCAGCCGCTACTCCGGTGTTTTTTTACCTATCAACAAATCTCTTGCGACGCTCTGACGCTTGAATTGCTAGTCAAGGACAACATTTTCAACATTTCTTGTAAAAAGGTAGTAGCATTCTAAGTTGCTCTTATTTCTGTTCCAATAAACAATGTAAAATCGTTGTGACAAGGACCAAACATCCGTCACAATCAAAATTACCAAAAAACTTTCACACTGACCTTTAACGATGAATGAGTAAATGAATGAACGAATGATAAGCAGCAAAAAGTCGGTTTTACTTTTAATTGAAACTTAAAGTGTTTAGGTCGTTTTTATTCGAACGTTTTTCCTACTCTGTTTACAAGGTGGCTCAGTGGCTTCGTATCGAGGGTGGTTCATGGGGGTTTTGCCCCATTCGATTTTTAATTTATTTTTTCTATATTGCGGCTCTACTAGGGTGGGGGATGCCGTGGTTAAAATATTTGCATATATTTCGCAGTCACCCTGTATAAGCATTACTGGCGATTTTAATATTAATTTTCTTGAGGTTGATAAAAAATTAACAGAATTTTCAGATTTATATTTATCTTTTAACTTGAAGTATACAATAAGTGAACCTACACACGGAAATGCCTGTCTAGATAATCTACTTACAAATTTGGAAGAAGGATATTTTTCTTGTAATGCAATTAATTACCACCTTTCGGATCATGCTGGCATATTATTTAAAATGCGCATCTGTTTATGTAATTCTTGGGAGACAAAGAAAACTATATATCCTCTCACAGCTGCAAACTTATATAACTTTTATTGTGATATTGACAATACGGACTGGTCATTTGTATATGATGAAAATCTAAGCATCGACGAACAATTTGAAAATTTTACATACTTATTATCTTCAGCCGCAGAAAGAAATTTCTTACCCCGAAATGTTGTTGTGAACATCAATAGTAAGACTCTTAACATTAATTGGTTCAATGACGAATTGAAAAATATGCGTCAGCATCTTCATTTTTTGATTGAATATTCTCGTTTAAATAAAGATGAGTTACTTAGGGAATATGTTAAGGAATATAAAAAAGCTTACAGATCTTTAATTAAAAAAACTAGAAAACAAGCCCATGATGCATATATTTCTAAAACTAACAATCCTAAAGCTGTCTGGGACTTACATCTAAATAATAAAAGCGTGGTTTATCAAGAGTCTCCATTTTCTGCTGAAGAGTTTAACACATATTTTGTCAATATGCCGGTCTCATTAACTAAAGATTTAACACCCAAACATGTTACATCTAGCAAGACTTTCAATATATCAGATGAGTTTGCTT